TCTCTCGGCCATGTTTGACATTTCAGAAAACATTTCGCGATCGTATTCTTCGCACCCTTAAAGGCCACTTTACCGAGAAACTTTCAACACTTTAAACAATCTTAGCAACCAGCAGCGATAATTACCTATCCGAGATTACTATGACGTAAATGGGAATGTATGTATCTAACCAGACATCATTTTTCTTTGTAACATTCCTGTTTAATTCGGATGAACGAAGAAATCTACGAATTAACATAAAAAACAATCTCGACACATTTAAACGTAGGTATATATTATGAACTTTAATTAACATACTAAACGAAGAAAGATGATCTCACGTATCTCGACGTATACACACACACACACACGTGACGGTCTTACGAGCTTAAGTCGAACTAATTACACGAAACGTATTTAGTATTTACTGTTTGTATGCGACAAAATAAAAGAAGGATCTATCTTTCAATCTATCGGCGTACTCCAATTAAATGTTTATCTCGATGGATCTTATCTTTCAATTACTTCGAGAAACTCATGTATATATAACTACAGTTGCACATATGTACGTCTCTTTTTCTCTCTTTCTGTGTATGCTTTTACTTATTTATTTACATTAATTACTGTTTTACCGATTGAGTGGTAAAGTTGGTGCGAGAAATAGAAAGAAAACAAAAGGAAAAAAAAAAGAAGTAAGAAAATCAGTAAAGAAAAGAGAGAGATTGACGCGTTAAAATCACCGTAGGAAATCGTATCAAGCTTCCGTAGATCTTTAGACGAGCTAGGGACACGCCAATGAGTCGTTAACCGTTGAACGAGGGCGGAGAACGAACACGTAACGCGAGCAACAACAACGATCGTGATCGTAATTCAAATGCGTATCTCATGTGCTGTCGTATTTCTTCTCTTTTGTAACAGGGAATATAACTTCTCCTCCCATATGCGCACAAACACAATATCGATACTAAAGTGCGAAGTGAAAGAGAAAGGAGGATCGCCCAAGTTTAATTCCATTCGAAATACGATTTTACTTCTTTATTTTTTCGAGATACCATCGAAAATATGTTTCTGGCAAAGATTACACGATGAAGTTTGTTGGACTATTCAATACGCCCACGATTTAGATTTTAACGATCGTAAAGATAGCTCTCTCTCTCTCTCTCTTTCTTTCTTTCATTCTTTTTCTTTCTCTTTCTTTTAGGTGTAAATGGCCAATAAATTAACATATACGCGTTGAAAATTGCTAAAGGGCAATTAAATGTTAGATAATTATTCCGTTCGAACTGTGTTACTTCGGTGAATACGTTCTCGAATTTATTATGCGGAAATTTATAAGGAGTATTATTTTTTTCTCTTCTTTTTTTTTTTTAGATTTAATGTGTGAATACACGGCTGGGAAACAGTGGAAAATATTTGCTTTGGATTTAATAATATATTTTTTTGGTTTTGATCATAAATTAATAATTATTTTAAATGTTGTTCGGTTATTGTTTTTTTATTATGCTATATTGTAATGACTTTTGCTTTTATTATTATTGTATCCATTGTTTTCAATATTGTTGGAAGTATGACCTAAAATCTTGTTGATATTCACTATTGATTATTCAACAGTCGTGTAATAAATTATTTTTGCACTAATAAAAATCGGAAAAAAAGAAAAAAAAGGGAAATAAAAAAAAATTGTCTTCCATTGTTCTAGACGAGATGAAATAAAAGGATAAGAAGGAAAAATCGTGTTCGCATTCTCAAAGAGGCGTTTTCAATGACGATCCAGCGTGCCAACGCGTCGGCAAGCATAGCGCGAATGGCAAGCGGCTATTGGAAGTTCATTGCAGACAAAAAGAAGGGGAAGTAACTTCTTCCAAGAGGCTATTTTTATGGCACTTAGTCTTTCCGAGCGGCAACATGCTGGAACACTTGAAAAACACTTGTATGCATTCCGTTACGTTTACGCAACTATATCGCTCGAGGAGAACCTGCGAGAAACGGAGAAAGAAGAAAAAAGAAAGCGTTTCAATGATACAGAAAGAGAAAGAAAATACGATAGTGTTCTCTCCTATCTTCAATAATTTCTAAAGTGGTTCTCCTTGATTTTTGTTTATATGATCTAGGCGTTCTACTCGACTAACTAGATTTACCGTAGTTTATTTTATACGTGAAAAATCTCGACGTTTTGTGTGCCATGATTTACGCATAGAAAATTAGAAGATTTATTTAGCTAGTTGTAGTCTAGTGTGTATCTAAAAAGAAAAATAAATTTATAATAGGATTTTAAACTTACCGTACGAGTCAGCAACAGAACGAAGCGTCCAATTTCAAAATTCATGGTAGGTATTCCAAGCGTTGAACTTTTAAAAAATAAAATTATGACTCGCTACACCGGTTCCATAAATTTCAACAGCTAATTATTAGATCAACGAAATAATATTAAATTAAAAGTTTTTAAACGAATAAAAATTGTTTACAACTTGCGAAATTAAATTGCGTAACTGTTGTATTACTAAAATTTAAAATCGATTTATTCTTATCGAAACGAAATTCATCATAGTTTTAAGTTAGTCAAGCAGTCAGTCAGTGACTCGAGATTTCTACGTAAAAGGAAGTAAAGTAAGTAAGTAAGTAAGTAAGTAAGTAGAAAACGTGTGAAGTAGAAAGGATTCATCCTCGTTCAAGGAAGAAATAAACGAACTTATATTTACCTTGATTCAAGCGATGTTAAAGTTGTATTCGTAGGAATATAACAGGCAGAATAAGAGAGTCAGGAAGATCGTAGACGATCGTAAAGCCTCGAGGCGTGTGGATAAAAAGGAAAAGTTGTCGAGTTACCTACGTGGACTACGGTAAGCGAATTACGTCGACACCGTATAGATGTTGGAAAAAGGTTGTTGCGAAAAAGCTCGAGGGAAGAACCGTGGGTGGAGAAGAAAACGAAGACGAGGAAGAAAAAAAAAGATGAGGAGGAAGAGGAAGAGGAAGAGGAAGAGAAAGAGGAAGAGGAAGAGGAAGAGAAAGAGGAAGAGGAAGAGGAAGAGGAGGAGGGTACGGCCGACTGGTATCGACATTTCAAAATTGCAACGCTCGACGTCCATTGTCACCCATCTTCAGCGTCTTGGAGGCTTCCGTTAAGGTTTGTAGGTAAGTACGTACCTACTTTTCTTGGAGAAAAATCGTGAAACGTTTCTGCACCTTCCTCGCTAAAGCTACGGGAGATAGATTGAATGATGAAGAAGAGGGAAAAAGAAGGAAGGGAGAAAGTACGAAAAGAGACAAGATAGAGTTAGAGTAATATATATATATATATACAGGTATAGTCTGTCGTTGGTAGGTAGCTACCCTCAAAGTTGCAGGAAAAATTATTGGCAAAGTGTCGATAAAAGTGTGTCGCTTTTCCCTCTTTCTATATCTATAGATATATACATGAACCCTTTTCGATTAGGTATTTTATTTAATTCGTTTTCGTTTCGATACTATTTTCTACGATTTTGTTGTAAATTTCATTGCTTTCAGATAATAATGAATAAAGATAATCGAATATGAAGAACTTTTTCTAAATATATNGTGGTTGCATCATGTGTTGATTAACTTTCGTCCGAAAATTATACCAATCTTTACCTTGACTATAAATGATAACATTATTTTAAATAGATCATTTTCGTGATTTTAAATTTTTTATTAATTTCGTTTTAGTTTAAATACGATTTAGTTCCCACGATCTCGTGAATATCATTCCATTGAAATAATTTTGAATAAAGATAATTGGCTCGTAGACGTTATCGAGATGATCATGAACTAACATAAGAGAGAAAAGGGATTTGTTATAAGAGGGAAAAGCTCTGAAAATCGACTATTTTCATGTCTATGCCATCCAATGATGGGCTCTAAGCCAACTCGTCGCACGTAGTAGTCGTAGTAGTGGTAGACGTTTCCAACGTAGTTTTAGGGATTAAGGATCACTCGTATCGCATTAGTCTTAATTTATTTAAGCCTGTGAAGCGTGTCGTGCTGTTGGAAGGATTTACGGATACAGGTGGTAGGTGAGTTGTTCATTGAGAGAAAAAAAACGTGAGTAAAAAGAAAAAAAGGAAAAATAAAAAAGAAACCGATTTGAATAGGAAGACGAAATAGAATTAATAAAGAGGAGAGGTGGGGAAATAGGGGATATGATAAATGCAGTGTTATCGATTAATCGTTGTTTTTCGAGAATGCCTGAGAGGTATACAAGAATATTTTATTCGTCGAAAGTAACAAATATACAATCCTTCCAAATAAATGGTAATTAAAACCATATACTCTGTAATTATAGTTCGTTTCACGCGACTATCCGCCGTGTTGTTTCATTTTCTTCTTCTTCTTCTTCTTCTTTTTTCTTTTTTTATTATCATTATTATTCTTGAAACTCGATCACCGTGATTTTTTTCCCGTTTTTTTTTTGTTTCCTTTCCTAATTAATAATGACCGAAGCACGCGTGCATATTTTTTTTTTCATTTTCTTTTTACGTAATAGCACGCGCGCCGCCGCCGTTGTTTTGCGTGTGTATTGTCGTACCTCTATATAATAAAACGTATATAAAAAAGTGAACACGATTTTATAAATTGTCCGAAGCAACATCAACGCAAGTTTTTGTGAGAAACGCCTCGCAAGAAAACAGAGAGCATAGAATTTTGGCACGATTATTTTTTCTGTCAAAACCAATTCGGAGTCATCCACTCGCGCGCGCGTTCCTGTATATATCCGTGTAACAAATAGATAAAGTATATTTATATATTTATATATATACGTTTTTTCTTAGGCGAAATGCGGCATCTTTTTTCTTACTATATTTTTTTTTTCTTTCGCATTTCTTTCATTGCCGCCCCAATTTTCACCAATTTACTTTTTTCGCTTTTTTTTTTCTTTTACTCGCTGTGTCCATTATTTGCACACACACACACACATACACACACATACACGCATGCATATATATTATAATTCTGTATATATAAATGTGTGTATGTGTGTTTATGTATATGTATATGTATTTATATATAAACATTCATCTCTCTCTCTCTCTCTCTCTCTCTCTCTCTCGCTTTCTTTCTGTCTCTTTCTAAAAGGATTAATCCATTTGTTTGAATCTGCGCGCGTATCTCTTAGTACGTAGCATGTATGTACACATATATCCATCTAAATGCACAGTCTCTAGTTAGCTATTAGCCATGATTATACACGGCACTTAAACCGACCGTTCATTTCGAGAAAGATCGTCTTTCCGTCAATTGATCTTTTCCTCTGTCACGGTTGCAACTAGAGTATTGACAAAGAATACAATTTCGGATTAAAACGTATCTCTAACAACGGTCTCGTAATATCCTTTTTTTTTCTTCATTTTTTTCTTCTTCATCTTCTACTATTCTCTTTCAGCAAATTACGCTCTTATTTACAAGAAGTTAACAATGGCGTTAGTTTAGCACAATCATTTAGCGACTGCGCACTAACAGAAAATGTTAAGGCAGTGTTTTCGATTAGTTCGTTCGTAGAACCACCACGTGCTCCTGCTTTTCCTCTCGGTTCGTTATTGTATCGACAATAATATCGATATCGTATGTCGATTCGTATCGTTTTTATCATTTATAATATTATATTATTAATTAATATTTATTATATATAATCATTTTATTATTATTATCATAATTATTATTTTTATGTTTTTTTTTTTTCGAGGATCAATTCGATGATCTGTAGTAGTGTAGCAGTAGTAGTAGTAGTAGTAGTAGTAGTAGTAATTGTAGTAGTGTGGTAGTAGTAGTAGTAGTACTAGGGGGGCGGGGAGTGGTGTCCATCATACGTTCGTAACTTTCACTCACCAGTTTCGAAAATGGAACGTCGAGTTCGTTCGTAAAAAGTAGGAAATTAGATGAGCGATATTAAACGCGTTCAAAGCCAGGGTCCAAGCTGAGCTTCCAAGATCGTAGCAGCATCCGTCCTACCCATAATTCTCAAATGATTCAAAAGATCCGTGACAGCCGTTGGTTCCCTGTGCCTTGCTTCCCATAAATCGAGAATGTGTTCCGTCGGACTCGACTTTGTTGCAAAGTAGTTTATGTACCTGGGACGGAAGTAACGAGAATAACGTCTAAAGTGATTATTAAGAAAGGCACCACGACGAGAGATAGATCGATTGATCGTTAACAACGACGACGACGACGACAACAACAATAACAAAAAAATGAATAACGTTGTCAAGCAAGTAAACGTGTCCGGAGATTCTCTTGGATTGTCCGTAGAGCCATTAGCCGTACGACGACTGAATGTCGATTGAGATAATGAAAGGGGAACAAACGATTAAGAAGATTTGTTTCCTTTTTTTTCTTTTTCTTTTATCCGATCGAACCGAACTAAACGGGTTTGCGTTGCGCGAGGAGAGAGGTAACACGATGTTGTAGATATCTTCGATGTATCTCTCGGTGGGTCGGTAATGGAAGAAAAACTTATTATCGTGTGACTAAGCGGAAAGGATGAGTTAATGAGAAAAAGTTAAATTGCTTTTTAATTGTATATACATTGAGATAAATAGCGAAATAAATGATAATGGTTTAAAACCGTATCGTTTTATTAAAGATTTGATTTTTAGGGAGATAAATAGATAGAGATAGAGAGGCGAATGGGTTATTACCAACCTGTCAACTTGCAGTCTCTGAGCCAACATTCTCCAGTCGTTGCCTAAAGCGTTAGGTGGGTCGAGGCACTGGCAAAGTTGTTTCCTGAGAGACCTGGTGAACCGAAACGGTCTGAGGGCAGTTGAATCGGTGGTTGCGTTATTAGCATGTCCGCTGCTGACGACGGTCACTTCTCTGAGAGGTCTGGTAACGCTGCCGGAGGATATCAGTTGTTTCGCGCCGTCGTAAACGATCCTGAAGACCTGCCTGGTATCGGAATTGCCTTGCGAGACCTGGAGTTTGTAGCTTCTGGTTGTCGTCGGGCCAAATGCGGTATCCAATCCGAATACCACGTGTTTCGTGTTCTCCTGACAATTCCATACGTCTCGGAATGAGAGCTCTTGACGCTCGGTTGGAGATTTGCTTTGCCACTCGTTACCGACTTCCTCCAGACTGACGCAAAGGGACTCCCCGTTGTCTTGGAACATCAACGTACGCGGCTTGTCCAACAAGTAGCCTCTTATTTGCGACTCCCTGTCGACGATTGCTTTCATGGCTGCTTTTGTGTCCTCAACGGCATAAACTCTGACGCAACATTGGCCCGCTTGGCTAGCGAACAATGCCAATCTCAGTCTTTTCGTGGCTAGCGAATTCTCGCAACTTTGACCGGCGAGAACGTAGCCCCTGAGTTGTTCCGTCACGATGAACGCTTCCGCGTGATCGAGCTGCGTAAAGAGCGGCGTGTTGATCGTTTCGTTACCCAACGTCAACACTCTGCTCCACGTCACCACCACCTGATGATCCTTCGTCGACGAAATCGACGAGTTCTCCTCGACGTTCAGATTATCCGAAGCCCATACGCTCAACTCCCAGGTTGCCGGGTGCAACATGGCGCAGTGCTCGAATTGTAGGATCACAGGTTTTTTGAAGGGTGCCCTACATGGGCCGCAGGTTACCACCGCCGATAGCTGCGTTATCCCGTCTGCGAGGATAAAACAACGGTCTCTTTTCGATTTTGTCACGTGCAAGGAATTATACGAATTAATTATCATCCCGATTGAAATCACGGCTTTTTAATGAATAATAATTAAACATCATATATTTCTGTCGATAAATTCAACGTTTCTCGTCAATAACTTTATTTTCGAATAAATATCCTACGTGATACGATATAATCCAGATTCGACGGACAACTGACGTTGCCGATGCAAAACGTATTTTTCTTTTTCTTTCTTCCTTCTTGTTTTACTCTCGAATCAATTAAACGCCAAAATAAATGTCGATCATATTTTCGTATCTCATCTCGCGGAAATATAAAAATCTCTACTACCGGTCGCCACCGTTGTTGCTCCCCGAATAAAATAAATGCTGATCCCACGTCGATCGCAACAATCGACGTTAACAATTACATCGAATATTACTTCGGGCAATCTATCGAACGCGAGTCAACGAAATTAGAGTACTAATTTGATTTATCGACATTGCGAAAAAGGGTGCCGTGGTGGGACGGGCTCGGTGGATGGGAGATAAAAGCTATAATGCGATCGAATTCGTCCGGGGAAATGTTCGCTTTTTCGTTGTCACCATTTTAAAGGGGACATATTCAAAAGGATAAAACTTGAAAATATATATTTTGTGCTTTTTTTTTAACACTTACCTGGTAATCTAGGCCTAAAACGATCCTCGTTGAGAACCGCCAAATAGAGTTCCTCTCTGTGAGGTTTGGGTAATGCTCCTTCTGGTACGGACATTGAAATTCCAGAATCCGGAAGGACCAATAATGCACCTCGCGTGTTGACCACAGCTCTCGCTACGTTTCCAGCTTCGAGCTTGGGCAACCTGACGCTTTCTGATGCAACGTTGTAAGTAGAATCCGAGGATGGGTAAGAACTAGTGACGCTGTTCTCGCTGTCGGAATGGATCTGCTTGTCGCTGCAAGACTCTTGCGTCGATGTTGAGGGAGTCGGCGACATCGGGGAAGGTTGGGGGGCGATTGATAGGTGCGGCACGTCGTAATGGTGCTCCGAGAGGGATCTCGACATCGACAGCTTCGGGTCGAAAGGATACTCGTAACAAGCCGGCACGCTCGTCGCCGTCACGTCCGGTTGGAGGCTCAACTTCTTGTCCTGGTCCGGGAAGAACTCCGGCTGGAATTCTGAAACGCACACGGCCGAGGCACGGCTCGTGGGTATCTCTGCGCGCTGCGGACAGATCCCGGCAACGATACTGTTCCGATTCTTACGCATCTCTTTCTATTACCACCGGGATACTTCCCAAAGTCCTTTTTGCATTTTTAACGCTTTTTCAATCAATTCTAACCTTTTGCCTAGGTACGACATTTAAAAGAAACACTTTTCAAATATTCCTTCGTCAATTTTCTCTTCAAATCTTTTAAAGAGAGTATTTTATTACTCTATTGTAACTTGGTAAGTACCTTCGTGCGTATTAGATTTCTATTGATTCGAATCTTTTAAAAGTGCGTAAGGACTTTACAAAGATCCTGCGTTACCAAATAAGCACTCGCGCCCCCGTCCTCTATTGATCTTCCCATTGTTTCCACCTAAGCGTGGAACTATTTTACGATCATCTTTTAGTTAATATGAGAAAGATTAGAAAAAGAAGAAAAAGATGAAGAGAACGCGTGAGAACCAGCAGACAAGTATTTTGCCCTGTAATTAAAATGCATTCCAAAAGCGTTCTCCACGATTTAGAAACGTATGGATTTGAATAGAAATGAATTAAATTAGGAGAGCGAGTGCTTTTGGATTAATCAAGCTTCGAAATAGTATCTTGCCTGCTTTTTTTCATCGCCGTGTACGCGAATAGATGCGTGAAGCAAACAGGAAATTAAGGAAAATATTTGAGAAAATAAAAAAATATATAAAAAAAAATGAGCCGACATATTTTTCTTTTTACCTTTCCTTTTTTTCTAAATGCTTACCATTACGTGCCATGGAGTAAAGCGAATGATCTCGACCTTTTCTTCGTAACAACTTTGTCAGGAAAAATGCGAGACCACCGATAACGAGACAAGCCACCGTTAATCCAATATACAGTGCCACGTCCATCTGACGATTTGCTGTAATCAAACGAATAAACAAAGCTCGACAATGTTACTTTGAAAGAACAAAATGTTAATTAATTGTATAATTTAAATAATTTTAATATTATACAAACATGATTCTCAATTGTTAGAACGGGCGTATAACCGAATAGGATATCAAAGGACGTTCTATGAATATTCAAACATTTCGTGCATTATACATTTACCGTAATGGTATATGTATTTAATTGAAATGTATGTTGCATATGTAGATATACATTATATGCAAACATCAATGTCATGTATGTTTCAATTCCACGCAACACGGATTTACCTTTAGACCGAATTAGATGTATATCTAATATTGTTAATATGCAAAGGAACTTTGATTAACTATTAATTGTATCTAAAAATATTTTAATTCATTATTTAGTATTATTAAGAAACGCATCAAGTGAATACAATTTTATTTCTTTATTAATATCAAAGCGACTGAATTATTTGAAATTAAAAAACATTTTTTAAAATACAATTTTCTCTTGTAAACGGATGATCGAATTTAAAGACCTATAATATAATAATTTAAAGTGAACATAAAATAAGATAAAAAATTCAATTTCATCTATCGTATGTATGTATGAGAAAAGATCGAGTCTGGAAGTTTGTATACATAATGTAAGAGTAATATAATAAAGTAGTTTCTCAGATAGTACGATCACTGAAATAGGTGTCTATTCGTTACTCGAAGTACTTACGAGAGACTTGAATAACTCAAACGAATGCAAAAGTCCAGTCCACGTTTCTCAAAAACGTCGGAGTCAGCTCATGAATATTTTATAGATAAACTTTTATTTGTTCTCTCCTTTTCTTTCCCTTTTTGCTTGAGAGGAAGGAGAATTTCTTTCACACGGTCTGTATGTGACACAAAGATGCCGTACGAGAACGTTAAACGTTTCTCGTGTCGCTAAATATTACGAGAAGTCGTAGAAAAGTTTTAAGGTTCCTTGGCCATTTACGTGCCACGACACGTCATGGATTCTTTTTCCTTTTCTCACTCTCTCTCCCTCTCTTTCCCTTTCTCTGCTTTTAAACACTTTTTCCTACGTTTTATCGTTTTACAACGTGCCCGTTATTTTCTAAGCCAATAAAGATTGAGATCGTTATTATCACGGCCATTAACAAAGAACGATCAAAATAAATTCCACTAGTTCGCGAGAAATTCTTAATAATAATATTTAAATTATCAGATAAAGAATAGAAAATATATTTTCTAACAATGAAACGAGTAAAACAATTGTAATCTTTTTATACCTATGTGAACAAGAAATTTTTAAGAAAATATATCGTCTATGTTCAACCAAAAGTTAACTAACAGATTAGCATAAATGTTAGTGACATTTGACTGAACATAGACGATTGACGAAAAGAGGAAAAAATAAATCGAACCCTTTTCTTGCCAGGATGAATTCCAAAGTAGAAAGACATTTGAATTAAGATGTATTTAATATTTAAAAATTCTATTTATATATACGCACGACGCGTACCGCGAGTCAAGATTTATTTCTACGATTTCGAATATCCCCCATACCTACAGAAAAATTGTCAACAGAAGAAATTCCTGAAGCAACACGCGCCAAGCAGGAGAACAGCAGCGACAGCATCCCTTCTTTCACAAAACACCGTTAAGCTTCTTCCAATTTTAGAATGTCAAAGACACGCGAGGTTGTAACCCTGCTACGTGACTTTCGGGCCCTGACTTTTCCTCTCCTCCTCCTACACCACCCCCTCCCCCACTTCTTCCTATGTTTTTTCCTTTTCTTTTATAGGATCATGTTCTTCTCGTTGTCGCGTTTCTGTATACGTATCACACACTATCTTTTTTTCTCTTTAAAGACACGTGCCTCGAACATCAATAACTCTTTGCGTACGACGAGAACGAGTAGCATCGTTCGAAAGTATTCGAAGGAAAGATTTTCAAAACGCAATAGTTCCACGTCGTTACACACTAGACGTAAGAAAATGAAATCGGAAATGCGTGTGCTGCTTCCACCCTATCTTCAAAACACTCATAGTTATATGTGTGTGTACACGCATATGATGCGTGTGTATGTATGAGAAAGAGAGAGAGAGAGGAAGAGAGAGAAAGTAACTTCTGTTGGGGATGCCAGGATTTATTTTCTTAACCACGATCGATTTACGTTCGGTCCCATCTGTGCTACGACGTCGTACGTTGTAGCATGATAATAAAACTTCTGTTCCATTTTTAATCAATAACAAGATAAAACCTTTATTAATATTAATTTGGAAAATGGGAAAGCCAATACGAATGAAATTTTCTCTATAAATAATGCTTTCATTCAAAGACGAGAGTATTTAATCTCACAAATATTTCAGTTATTCGCATCGATATACCATTCCAATCATAGTTTAAAGTCACTTTTGGGAAAATCGAAGTCACTTCGGAATTCAAGAGGGTAGTTTTGGTCTTCCAACTTCTCCTCTTTCTTCTTATATTATCTCTCCTTCTCTCTTTTTCTTCCTCTTTCTCTTTCTCTTTCTATTTCTCTTTCTCTTTCTCTTTCTCTTTCTCGTCTCAGTGTCTCACAGAAATGTAGGTATATGTTCGAGACCATGGCACAGGATAATGGCACTTTATTTGCATGCACGATCAATTTCCCCCTACCATCTAAAGGGCGTAACGGCTACCGATTACATAATTTTCTTCGATATTAAAGGCAACCCTTAGCCAGGCACGAAGGGACCCGAAGGGAGTCGTGTATGTCGTCGAGCCTACGCGTATATCGCGTGCAACTTTGATGTACCCTTCGCTCGATAGAATCGTCGAGATTCATGCTGAGAGAGAAAGAGAGAGAGAGAGCGAGAGAGGCTGAAGGGAGAAGGGTTTCATTCGAGCGACTGCATCTACGCGGACCACCCTCGAGACTACCACCAGCTATAGGCTCATTGTTACGATTGTTTGGCTCCATAAAGCTCGAAGGGAGCTGATCGTTCTCCCATAACTCCCTTTTCCTTTCCCAGCGTCAATAATTAACCAGTCGCGTAATTAAATGTAAATATTCGAGAAGAGAAAAAGAGTTTACGCGCGCTGGTTTACCTACCCCTCTACCCCACACTTTACGACGACCAAATTATTTTCTCTCTCTCTCTCTCTCTCTCTCTCTCTCTCTCTCTCTCTCTCCCTTTCCCATAATTTTGTTCTAACTCGTATATCGAGAATCTCATAAAAAAATAACTTGACAAGGTTTTTTTTTTCGACATTTCGTCCGCTTCCCGTTCAAATATTCAGATATTCAAAATTACATTGAACGAAGAGAATTAGCGAGTCAAGAATTTACATTTTCCCTTAGGCGAGCCCTCCTTCTTCCTACCTACTCCTTTTTTTTCTTTCTTCCTCTTACTCCTCCTACTTTTCCTATTCCACTTTCTTCTTCTACTCCTTATTCTCGTTTCAACATGCTTCCGTGATTTTAATAATCGTTTGTGTAGATATTAATAGTACCTACGTAGTACCTAAGTCGATGTTGATCAAGGCCTCTTACCAGTAGTTTCTCTCTCTCTCTTTCTTTCTCATTATTTTATTTAAACTCGTCGAAAGCTTTTCAGGATGAATATAAAGTATACCTAGGTAAGATTCAAATGGTATCAGATCAGAAAGAGATAGGGTAGGAACTTGTAGAGAATATAAATGGCGTGCACCGGGCGTGAAGAATCCATCCAAGAATGTCGTACGACGGGTTAAGGACATTTTCTTTGCGGTCCAACAGTCGCACCCTGATTCTCATAGCACTTGGAACTTATACCTTAACTCCTCCAACTCTCTCACTCTTTCTCTCTCTCTCTCTCTCTCTCTCTCTCTCTCTCTCTTTCTTTCTTTCTTTTTATTCGTATTTTATTTTATTTTTTTTGTCGGTTATTATTTGTATTCGATGTGTTTCTTTTTTATCCTACGTTCATTTTACGTCATTTTTTTTGGTTGAATTTTGTTGTTTTTCTTTTTTCTTGGAACTGGTGATAGCGTGTCGCCTTGATTCTTCGCAAGCATATAGGTACTATATATATTTTTACATAGCTATATACAAATCCGGAACGAATCGGAGGAGGGTCGGTACATCGCGCGAATCACGGCTTATCTAATCGAGAGAGACTTCCCTCCTGGACTCTCGCAAATGCACCGTGACGAGGAACGCGCGTGCGAATGAAATACGCGACGAAAGAGAATTAACGGGTCCGAGAGAGCTCTAGGAGTGGCATTGTCATATGCATATTTATAGATATTAGAAAGAAGAGAAATAGATTTTTTGGTTTTTTTTTTCTTTTGTTAACTCACCTTCTTCCGTCAAGTGCGCGCCACCCATCTTCGCGTTACCAACTGAAATAGAAAATGGTCACGACTGTCTTTTAAAAATTTGTTCTATGATATTAAAAATTGTTTTTCTTTTTTTATGAATTATTCAAATTTGTATTTAAGACAATTAGGTATTTTAAATATAAGTATAGGGTTGCTTATTAGGTCGATTAGTGATATATTATTATTAATACTAATTATTATAAATATTAATAAAAAATATTTAAATTACTGATCCAAACAAATAGCAAACCTTAAAAATGTTTTAAAGTAAGAAATATTTAAAGTTATTGACCCAAAAAATGTGACAAATTACGGGATATCATTTCAATGTAATTCTTTAGATGAGTATACTGAAATATGAAAAAATATGATGTTTATTGTACTTACCATTGCATATGCCGCCGGTGCAATTGGCCACGCTGATGTCTTTTCCTTGACATGAACGGCCACCATAACTCGGAGGTGGTTCATCGCAGGATCTTCTTCTCGTGTGCGTGCAGTCGGTCCCGCATATGGACCACGCCGACCATCTGGACCATCCACCATCGACGACTGGTACAAACAAATAAAAAAAAATGGAAAAGTGTGTCTCGTAGAGTCGTTAAAACGGCAATGCATTCGATCGATACGAAACGTCGATAAAAACTTCCACGAGGTTCTTGTAAAAGTATCATTCACGTTCGATATCGATACTCGTTCGTGGTTTTATTGCCGTTTAATCTGCTCGTTAAACGTTTCTCTCTTTTTTTAATTTTTCCTTTTTCTTTTTGATTTTTTTTTTTTAGAAGAAACATTTACTTGTATTATACCTTCAGTAATTGATTTATAGCGCGTATCTTTCGTCTTTAAAAACGTTAGGCATGTTTAACACTAAACCTACCTACAGTTTATATACACCGATTTTTATCATAACCGGTCTTCAATAAAATTTATTTCTTTTTACGATTAAATACTGACTTAAATAATATAATTATAATTGTAAAGTATAAAATGAAGAAAAGCAATAACATCGAATGCAGAATTCAGTGGTACTTTTTTAATGTTAAAAGCATTTAAATCCTAACAATAAAAACTTACCCATAGTATTGGTAAATTCCTCCAATGTACCCGCTGTTCCAACAAAAGCAGCAGAAAAGAAGGAAGAAGAAAAAAGCGTTACGCTCTCGTAACAAACGAGAACTTAATTTTAGCGACAAAATAAAAACACGTACCTACTTCCGTGTAACACGAATATTAGTATTTTAAAGTTAATACGAGTGTATACTAACATGCGGGTGTTTTTGAAATGTCGCAAACATTTTTGAAAGGTGTATGATGGTAAAGAGACCCGTTGGCATAAGATGACCGCGAACACGTACGAGATGTATGCATGAGAGAAAAAGATCGTAAATCAAGATGAGAGAGGAAGAGAGATAGACAGAGAGAGAAAGAGAGAGAGAGAGAGTAACCTCTCTTCTCAGCATTAGTAATATCGGCTTGGCAAGGTAAAACCTGCTTGGGCCTGACGTCTACGCTGCGACATAGACTAGGATAAGAAAAAGAAGACGACACCTCCGCCAACGCTTGCTTACACATTAACTATCTTCAAAGACGTCGCCTAAGGTAAGTATAGAATGTAGCGAAATTGCAAAAGGATGGACAAGGAAGAGTAGGGAAAGAGAAAAAGAGGAGAGAAGAAACCCCCCACGAAGCTGAAAGCACGTCAACGTTAGTAAGCGAATTGTGAGAGCTTTTTACGATGCACACGTGATGTTAGGTATTACATCTTACAAATTTTTTCTCTTACAACCGACCACACGCATGAATAGTTATTATTATTATCATTATTTATTATTATTATTATTATTATTATTATTATTATTCTTTGCTTTTATATACAATCATGGTATAAGCAATTGTTATCAGAAGCGTATAAAGCAATTAAAATAAGTGCATGTCATAGTCGTTTAATGATCATACGACTTACCAGGACAGGCCGCGTTGCAGTCCATTTTCTGTTGACCCGGTCCAAGACATGGTTGACCACCGTTCATTGGTGCCGGATTCGTACAGGTTCTTGTTCTCTTCTGGCCACCTTTCGCACATCTCGAATGACATTCCGACCAAGCAGACCAGGAAGACCAACCACCGTTCACTGGTAACATAATAATTAACAACTCGTCGATTGGTGATAATTGGGAGAGCCGACGTTAAGAGAGTAGAGTGAAATGTTAATTGCAGAATATTCAATCTTACGGTATACTGTTAGGCTAACTGGATCGCTTAACCGTTTGGCCGCTATGTTTTCAGCCACGCAGGTGTAATTAGCTTGATGGCTGAGTTTTGCTTGACCAACAAGAAGATGTCCTTCGCTAGATACCAGAAGTGTATCCGAGTCTGCATCAACCGGAACGTTGTTTCGTAACCAATAAACTCGTGGCGGTGGTACACCCAAAGGTGCTAAACATCGAAGTTCGGTACTATGACCGGCTTCAACCGAAACCGAATACGGTGGTGACTCGAATTGTTTTTTCAGGTCTGGAATCAAATAAAATTATGCTTGTCGATAAAACTAAAGGAAACAGTATCATGATAATGGAAATGTGGTTCAAAGTTCACATCAGAGGATGAGAGAAATGAAATGCAAAAGCTGCTTTAAATTCAATTGGAAAATGTATGCGTTTCGGTGATTCTGTTAAACGAAACTTTGTCCGCTTCGTTAGTTGCGTAACTCTAAAATTGGACAAGTGGTTCTTCCTTAAATTGATTCTCTTAGGAACTCCTCCGCTAACTGACTCTCTCCTCGCATTGTCTTCTGTTAAGGAGCGGAATTAAATAATGACATCACTGCCAGGAGAATCAAGATAATTACATGGGGCGAAGACGAAATAAGACGAAGAAAGTCAAAGCTCGCGTTTCTTGTGGCACACAACGATCGCGTCATCTTCTTTAACTTTTATTATCGTGTGCTCCTTTCAAGACGACATAAAGTTATATTCTTTGACGTAAAAATGTGAAAAAAAGGAAAGAAAGAAATAAAAATAAAAATAAAAATGAAAATAGAAATAAAAATGAAATAAAATAAAATCAATATGGTACTTACAAGCAACATCGATTACCGCTGGCTGACTCTTGATCTGTCCGGAACCGGACCAAGCGACACACTCGCATTTGAATTTATCTTTTCCAAAATATTCCTCGATGTGGTCCCTGGTAATATTAAGTTCGCAATCGACGATTCTTGTTCCCGTATGAGGATCAACGAAATCCGTTTGGACCGAGTCATCCGCCCTATCGTTGTTACAACGAAAATAAATTTGCAAAGCGTGAGCTGCTTTGCAACGAAGAGTGGCAGGTTTGTTCTTAACGACGAAGGAGTCGACCGGTTCGGTTAGAAATACAGGAAGGTGTCCGCCACCTTCCGATATGAGTTCAGTGTCGCTGGCGATAGTAGCCGAAGGCACGTCATCCTCTTCGAGTAGATAAGAATCATCGTCCTCCGCGGCGTCCTCGCCTTCTGAAAGAAGACACATTTATAAATGTAACAATACATTTTTTATAAATAATAATAATAATAATAATAAAAGTAAAAAAAGAGGCCAATCCGGGAAAAAAGATAATACTAATTCACTCGTAGTAATAATAAATACGAATGAAAATCTTTGAATTGTAAACGTGGGTAGACTCGAATCAATCGGGATATCGGCCAATACATAATAAATTCGTGCAATCCGATTATCGGATTACCGAGTTGCCGAGCAGAGAGACTAATGAAAAAATGGTAGTGCAGTCAGTCATTTGAATACTAAACAGGTTCGGTAATGGCGCTTGCCGATAGTAAAATACGTACGATCTCGAGTCATTAATTTCATCGAGAATGTTATTCACGTAGCGTACACCTACCTATCGGAATCGTGAAAATTCTATATTCGCTTGTCAACAATGCCGTGCCTCCTGGTAAATCCTGACGGGACGGTTGGCTATTAATGCCGCAGCTTCGCAGTATTCCGTGCACTCAGCACTCCTCTCCTCTCCTCTACTCTCAAAACCCCTCACCCCCCACTCCGACTCTCTCTCGTAGTTCTGCTAACACGTTGGCTCCGAACAATCGCGGTACTGCAACTGCAGTAATGAATTTTCGGATTTACGCGGCGCCACCGGTGCACCAAGCTCTCGATGTATTTTCCGCCAACGAGTGGTTAGACCTTTATCCCCGTGCGACATTTGGCCGGGGGCCACACTTTTCATCGTGATAACCGTGTACCACCTACCTTTAAACCCCCTACCTCTATTCTTTTTCTATTCCTCATTCTATACCTCACCTTTCCAACCCCCAACTCTGAACTCGCAAATTTCACAAAAACCCAACGCGATCAACTCACTTTTTCCATTTTCCCCACTTGCCTTCATTTCCTACCTTCACTTTTCTTTATTTCTTTTTTTTTTTTTCATACATCCATAAACCCTCTTGATTTGTTAATACGCGTCCTGTCAGATTTTTGGCTTTAGGAAATACGATCGATATCATAAAAATGCGAAAGAATGTGTAACGATCGATACTGTAATTGACGTTGAACGAAATTTTTTGTTCCCTTTGTTTTCTTTTTAAGGTAAAAAACAAAAAAAAGGAGAGAGAAAAAAGGAATGAGAGATTGACCACAGGTTTCACACTTTTATTTAAAAATAAATCTCTACGTAGTTTTATCTCTGATAAAATATTTTTCGTGGAAATAATCGTGTATCTCAAAGGCTACAAAGTTTAGTATTTGTAATGTACTCGTATAGATGCCACCAAATCATCGTTCACTATGAAAGGGAGAAATAGAAAGAAAAAGAGAAAGAGAGACTTTTTCCTATTCCATTTGTGAACATCGATGTCTCTCGATTTTCTCGTTCTGCCTCTCTTCTGCGGAAACTTCCATCTCTGATATAAAAGTATCTAGGCGAGCGACGTTTTAACGTACTTTCAATATTACAAAACTTTCCGATCGATAGAAGTAGAAGAAGTAAAAGAAAAAGAAAAAGAAAAAGAAAAGGAATAAGAAGAAGAAGAAGAAGAAAAAGTAAAAGAAGATTTCTTGGATGGATTTTAATAAGCGTTTGCTATCCTCTCAATGCCTTCGTCGAAGAACCGCCCTTTTCGCTGTTTCATTATGAACGATGAGTAGGTACACCCTCGAAACTCAAACTCCTAGCCCATTTATCACGCAAAAGTATTCCAAACGAACGTTTGTAAATTGGGATAGGAGAGAGAGAGAGAGAGAGAGAGAAGAAGAGAGAGATATTTCTAAAATTAATGATATGCAAATCATTCTTTCGTATATCTTCTTCGAGATGATAAACGAGATATTATATCTCGTGACTTGTTCGATATGTGTACATAAAACACTATTATTCCACATTTCATCAATAATCGAGCATTATTAGATCAAGAATACGTACACTATCGATACTTTCATCGAGCATTACTCGGTCAAGAATACGTACACTATCGATTCAAAGTTTGCATTGCATTATGAAAGACTGCATTTGCATCATACACTTATATACAAGCTATCGGTTATATTTTTTAAACATTTCAAAGTGCAAGTAATAATCTTTTGCAACAACCAGTATTGCTTATGATGTCATATTAAAATACTCTTCTAAAAAATTGTTGGAACAATTTGTAAAAGGAAGAATTGGTGGTTACTTTGATGAGCGAGACGTTTAGCTTCATTTAATAGTGCTTTATTAAATTTTTCTAAATAATTTTCTATCTATATGTAAAACAAATATTTCTATATATGTGTAAATAATAATAAAAGTATATTAAAAATCCTCTAAAATGAATTTAATGATTTAATTGATATTAAAATTATTTATATTATGAAATATAAATCATAAAATAATGTTTTTGTATTTTTTGACTTATTGTTAGTCTACTTTCATAATTAACAGCACATATATCTATAAGAAAAAAAACATAAAGGAAATATAACTTTGAATAATTAAACATTTTTCATATACGAATACGTGAACTCACACTTTTGGTTGATAATGTAAATCAATTTTTGAATCCATTCGAAAGTTTCAAAGAGTAAATAAGTATTGTAAGTAAATAGACATATAGTAGAAGGTGTACATATGTAGATATATTATATATCCATTGCTTGAGAAGCACTCAGTTCGACAAAAGTGACGAGGGTCGAGGAGTCATTCGATGGTCTTCCTATCTTAGCACTTTGCTGTCGTTACGCATAACTCCAATGTAAATTCGAACGTGAACCTCTCCGGGTATCTAGGACAAACCGATATCCTCTGAAACACTTCTCTCCTCTTCACCCCTTTCCTCTTATCGATAACGACAATTTTCTCTCACTCCAATGTTCCTAAGTTCTAACGATAGGAATATTGGTGTTGCGGTAAGCAGTAAATGCACTCGATATGCACGAAGCAGCTCGTTAGAATCGACAACCTGAACGTACAACGTTTACAATAGCCTCGGTTTTGCCTTTCGCGAAATTCTGCCTAGATCAGACAAGTTTGACGTATAACAAAACAAAACAAAACAAAACAAAAAGAAAAAAAGGAAAATGAAAATCAAGAGAGAAAGGGAAAAAATAGATAAAAGATGAACAAAAAAAAAGAAAGAAAAGAGTAAAACAAATAAAAAAAAAAAGGAGTTCGAAATTTATTTGCAGTAGAGAGCTACCGTTTGGAAGACAGGTCGAGGGACGTATACGGACGGATGGACAGACGGACGGATGGATAGACGGACGGACGGACGGACGGACGGACGGACAGACAGACAGACAGACAGACGGGAAGAGAAACGGACAGAGAGATGAACGGAGGGATGTCCGGAGGGATGCGTGGGTAAAACGAAAAGGCAGCTAAATTCGAAAACGTTACGCACTCCGCCTACCCCGAATCTCGCTATTTCTGTGCGCGTATGTGCGTACCTGTATGTGTATTTTACCCGTACAGAGGAAAAGAGGATTTTCATCGATTTCTGATAATTCGAACCGATCGGTTCGCTGATAGGCTACGGTGAAATCGCTCTCTGTCCAGCTCCTCTCGACAGTGAATCAGTCTGAGCGAGATCTCGTTAGTCGTTTTCGACGCAAACGGCCTACCCATCTATACATATACGTAACATATACTATATATATATATATATATATATATATAGATATATACGTATACACACACATATATATATCGTATATATATTGTAGATGTGTACCTATCTACGAGGGTTTCATAAATCGTACCGACGTGTGTTTTCCTCCCGCATTTCGAAATAAAAACGTCGACAGCGATGATGCTTCTTTTTCGTTCTCGATTGCTTTGAAACGCGGATCTGATTCCAAGCGGGGTCCAAAGGGTGAGACGGGAAAAGAGAAGGGTAGAGATTTGGGAGTGGACTGTCGAAATTCTGAAGAGAGTATCGGTTCGATTTTTGTTGTCTCTTTCTGTAGGGATTTTTTTCTTTTTTAAAGGGTAGGTAGGTATACACAGAACATATAGAAAAAGTTTAAAATAAAGAGATCCTATAACGGATGGTCATTTCATTATAGTTGAATTCATAGATGGATCTGTCGTATACCTTGGTTCGCGTTCAATCTCATTGCAACTGTGAATCATTCAGGTTGGTCGCTAGCTTCGTTAGCTACCGGTGGCTATCGTACATCCTACTTGATACTAGAACACCTTGATATGCATATATGTGTGGATGTGTGTACGTGCGTCTGTAGATAGAGGATGTTGGTAGATATGCATGCGTTTGAGCAAACCCCCACGTGGTTCCTATGTTGGTTGACCGCGTATTCCAGAAGGGTAAGAGACTAAGAGAAACTGAGAGAGATAGAATGATTGAGTGAGAGGAAGGAAGAGACACGAGAGTACATCGTAGTATGGTCTTAACGTGTACGAGCGCTGAGAGACCACACATGACGCCTCTTAATTAACAAAGCTACCTGCACAACCGGCAGAGGTAGTAGCAACGCCAACTACCGGCGAGATCATCTCTCCTCCTCCCTCTTCATCTTCATCTTCATCTTCTCAAATAAGAGAAATGATAAGACGAGACCGAGGTGAGCAAAGACACACACATTAAAAAGGAAAGAAGATATAGTAAATAAAGAGAGAAACAAATTAGGGGATGGGAAAGGGTGCGGATAGTGGATTACATTGTTTTTCGCGTTACTCGCTTTGTTACTTTAGTCGGTGCCCAACTAAACTTCTTTCGTCTCACAGTTTTTCTCTTTCAGTTTTTCACCAGTGGACGCACAGAAACACGTGTAGCCGTGAGCAGATTGTTCAACCGAGTTTGAAATAAGGATTCCAGGGGGGAAAAAAAGTATTTCCTTTCTCAAGCATGAAACTCGTTTACCTTCTCGTAGAATCTACCTCCTCGTGTGTGCTAAAGCTAGCTTTGAAATGGGAAAGTTTTGTTTTTCGCGTTGCGGAGAGTTTTTAAAGGATTTCCTTTTTTTGTTTTTTGTTTTTTTTTTGTTTTTTTTTTCTGCGAGG